GGGACTACTTGTGCCTGGTAGTCCTGGTGTTCGGTGCTCTGTAGCGCCTGCCAGATGACAAAAGTTCAAAAAGAAGATGGCTTGGATGTGAGGGATCCAGAGTGATTTTCTGAGCCCTTTTCCTTAATCTGGACGTATACAGTTCCTGAAGGGTGGGCAGGGGAGCACCAATAATTATTTCAGCAGTCCAAACCATCCTCTGTAGTCTTCTGATATCTGATTTTGTAGCTGAGCCAAACCAGACAGTTAATGAAGTGCACAGGGCAGATTCAATGACGTCTGAGTAGAACTGTGTGAACAGCTCCTGTGGCAGGTTGAACTTCCTCAGCTGGCAAAGGAAATACAGCCTCTGCTGGGCCCTTTTCACAATAGATTCAATGTGAATGGCCCACTTCAGGTCCTGTGACATGGTGGTGCCCTGAGAGGTGCCAGTGCTGATGGAGCGGCTGTTTGACATCAATTCCCCCAGTCTCACTGTTGCCTATCTGTCAGAAAGCTGGTGATCCACTGACAGATAGATATTTTCTTTGGTTTTACTCCTTATGGATGATTAAGGGAATTTGGCCTTTGTGTTCTTTGTGCATATTTAAACTGCTGTGAAACAGGAAGTCATGGCTGGACAATTTTATGCTCGTAGTCACCTTGGTGTGCTAAAAATTGTAACTATGAAATTATGTTTTATTAATAAGGTTCGGGAGGAGCACGTCAGATACTTAGCCTAATTAACACAGGTGGAGCGCACTCAAGTTAATCAACACCATGATACAAATACAGCTGACTTACATCTATCCATTGACGATCTAAACGACGAGCCCTATCCGGGGGATTTTTCGGTTCTCCGACCAATCTGCCGGCCCCAGGTTCGCTCCTTCTCCGCCAGACACCACTGCCGAGCTCCAGGCTTCATCGTGGCTGCTGCTCTCTGCTCGACCAGCCACATGCTCTCCACGATGCCAAGGCTTAATCTCGCCTCTACCGGCGTCATTTCTTTACGACAGAAATGCTACAGCAATCGTAAATCCTTGAATGTGGACATCAAAAGCCGTTTTTCACTACGTTCAGCCATTTCACTGAAATAATCTGTTCAGCTTTTCCCCCATAGGCGGTGTGAATTAAATGAGGGTTCATGATCAGCCCTTTCGATGCCCTGCCTTCTCAGTTTCGCATTAGCCCATTGGAGTGGCTACTAGGAAAATTCTGGGGTGAAAAACGCCTTCTAATCGATCTGTCTGCTCCACGTAACTCCCTGTTTTCAAGCATAAACACCTCGATTCCTCTTGACGAATTCCCTCTCAATAGTATGACATTGACCATGCAATCAATATAATAAAATCACGGGTCTTAGCACTTGACTGGCAAAAGTCGACATCACCTCAGCGTTCAAACTATGCCTATCCATCCAGATTCACGGCACTTATTTGGGGTATGTTGGCACAGGAAATTCTATATTGTCATGCGCTTAACTTTTAGATGCAAAGCAGCACCAAGATTTTCTGACGTGTTATCAGAAGCAGCTTATTGGATTCATCAAACAATTAAGCAAAGTAA